CCTTCCTTCCTTCCTTCCTTCCTTCCTTCCTTCCTTCCTTCCTTCCTGTGGTGGGATTCAAATAAGTTAACAACTGGTTTTCTGCCTAATGATTTCTTCCAACAACCAGTTCTTCAAACTGCTCAGAAAGTTAACAACTGGTTCTCCCAAAATGGTGCGAACTGGCTGAATCCCACCACTATTTCCTTTCTTCCTTCCCTCCCTCCCTTCCTCCCTCTTTCCTCCTTCCCCTTTTCTCTTTCCTTCCTTCCTTCCCTCCCTCCCTCCTTCCCTTCCTTCCTCCCTCTCTCCTCCTTTCTCCTTCCTTCCTTCCTTCCTTCCTTCCTTCCTTCCTTCCTTCCTTCCTTCCTTCCTTCCTTCCTTCCTTCCTTTCTTGTAATAGACTCATATGTCTAAAAGGGATCTTAGAGATCTTCTAGTCTAACCCATGTTCACGCAGGAGACCCTATACCATTCAGGACAAATGGCTGTCCAATCTCTTCTTTAAAAACCTCCAGTGATAAGGCACCCATTTCTTTAACAACAGATCTATCTAATCAGTAAAACCCAAAATCAACGTTTCTTTCCCCCCCACCACCCCAAGCACAAAGTCCAGAAACGGTTTCCAAGGAGAAGCAAATGTAATTGTGTTTCTTTTTCTTTTATCAAAGCAGATGATTGGTTTGCTATGGAGTTTTTAAACTGTTGTGGTGTTGCATGCTACCCAGAGTCACGTGTTTGTGAGGTATTCGTGGGGTATATAAATATGCTGAATAAATAAATGCCAATTGTTTACAAAAGATTATTTGAACTGGAAACGTTTCAAATTTGAAACACGCATCCAGCAGGCACGGAACTCTTCCGTAGTCAGAACAATGCCAGGATTCTCCCATTAAAGTTGGAAACTTCCAATACGTATTGACCTCAACAGGATTCATATTCAAAATGTTTTGAACACCTCGGTGTGCCATCCAACACTTGATTGTAAGCCAAAGGCAATCCAGAACGGAGACATTAATCTCAACATTCACACAGCAGGCAGGACTATAAGAAATTTGTCAAGCGCACAAGGTGGAAAGAACAATAATATAGCGAAGAAAAATTAGGATACTATAATTTATCTAAGAACAAATTTCCTGACAGTGAGAACAATTAATC